AAAAAAAAAAGAGAAGAGGATAGAGAAAGATAGCAAGTGAACAATAGAGGGGATGTTAGTGAGAAACAGATATGGTTTATTATCTGTTGAAGATGACGTGTATAGTATTCTCAACTGGACTGGTCTGGGAAGTATTTCATGATGGGTGAAGTCTTTTAACAAGCAAAATGAGAAATAGTGATTGACTGTTTTAAAAAATTATAATAATAATAATTATTGGGAAATGCATGGAAAAGACTTTGAATGATAAAGCGGGGAGATCGATGCCTCTGTATTGACTGACATGCATGGCATTCCCTTTTGAAAAAGCAATGGAAGTCAATGTAAAGTTATATGTAATCCAATGTAATATAAAGAAGATTATGATGATAATAAATAAAAAATTAAAAAATTAAAAAAAAAAAGAGGCACAGAAACCAAATTGTCAAGTGACTGAATATGAACAGTTAAAAGAAAACAACCAACAAAATGGGGTCTAATATGTTATAACCCTTACATTCAAAAGGATTTTGAATCTACAGGAGCTGATAGCTCTTAGGTCTCAGACTGTTACTATAAAAGGCAAACATAAAGAGAATTTGAGTTCTTAGAGAGGCACAGTTAAAAAGGTAAAGACTACACTATGAAAAACAGAAAAGCAACATTATACGGAAAAGAATAGTAATTCTGAAGTTACATGTACTGAGTTTAAATTCCAGTTCTACTACCTACTGATGGCAAAAGCTTAGAAAGTTAACCTCTCTTCAGCTTGGTTTCTTTACCTGTGAAATGGGAATAATACCGACTACATGGGAATAATACCAACTTCATGGAATGGGTTGTCTTAAGCATAATGCTGATACACCACTGGTTTTCAATATATATAAACTATAATTTATTTCAGAATTGTTTTGTTTTGTTTTGTTTTTGCTGTAGAGCTGGTACATTCGCTGGAGAGACAGAAAGCTAGAAATCAGGACAGCAGGTGGTATGGTGGTTAAAGGCACTGCATTCCCACATGACATGGATCGAGTCCTGGACCTGTGACTTGCTTTCTCACTTTCCTTTTCTCTGTCTCTGGTCAAATTAAAAAATAACAAATAGAATTAAATAAATAAATAACTCTTTAAAAAACAAAAGTGAGAAATCACCCCACCCCAGGCAGGATAGCCACATCACAATCCCTTCTCCTCCATTCTCTTCGGGATTCTGGGCATGCACGCACATGGACCTGGCATGAGTGTCAAGCTGCTGGGTCTGGGACTAGAACAGCGGTAGACTATGTGGGAGTCCAGTGACATAACCATAATATCATAAATAATTATTTTTAAAAAAATAATAATAATTTGAATGTTCAGATTGAGAACCATATCGTTAGCAAAGGTTTTGGTTTCCTGGCTGGATCCAAAATGAAGATGATCTGCCAGAGCAACCGAAAAGGTAATTTTACCATTATTAGCAATTTCAACTGTTCCCTGCCATAGCTTCCACTGCTGCCTGATGCAACATGTGAATTTCCACTCATTTGTTAATACATTTCTACCACCATTTCTTAGCCACTTACCTACCCAATATTTACTAGTACCTACACTTTTCTGTTCTACTCCTAGGAATGTACCCATTCTTCCTTCAGCTCACGTTCATCGGTCTCAGTCCTTTTTCTCCCATTGTATCTGGTCTTAGCCTGTTGTCTTTATTTGTTTACCTCCAATCACTGTGTATCATTACAACATACCAGATGAATTTTCCCTTCACAAATACACTGTATATTGGTCCTGTCAAAGATATTACCATACACATTATAATCAATAATTTTCCATTTTTGTGGTCCTAAATGTTTCGCTTCTTTCCCCCCCAATTATTTCCTCTCCCATTTCCCACCCTCCTCTTACATTGTCTCTAGTATCACTATTGCTCTCCATGCTTTTATATCTTCCAATCTTTCAATTTCTGCCACAGAATGCCAATATTTGGTATATAGAGTGGGGACATTTAATGCCTCTCTTTCATAGTCTGGCTTGCTTCACTTAGCAGTAAATCTTCCATATTTATCCACTTTCCTCAAATGCCAGGATCTCGATGTTTGTTATGGCTGAGTAGTATTCTGCAGTGTACAAGTTTGCCTCTCTTCTACAGGAACCTTTCCCCTTCTCTTTCTACTCCTGTTAGAATTCCGTTTCCAATAAAGTGATTCACTGTCTCATGCTTCTCCTTCCTTCTCTCTTTTCTATTGAGTCCTTGGGAGCCATGGTAAGTAAATCACATGTAAGGGAGAAGTTATTAGTTCTGATGGATAGAAAAGAGGATGAAAGTGATACAAAGAAAAGAATGAATGCAGAAGAATGCTATAGGAACCTGAGTGTATCCTTGGCTTTCTTTTCCTGTAAAGACAGACTTGACAAATTCTAGCACTATTCCATATTCCCTAGAGTCATCCATTGACTAAAACTACCCACAATTTTGACTATCCTGCCTCTATCCTGGATAAACTGCTTATGTCTTTTAACCACTGTTCTGCATTAAACTGTTAAGAGTTGCTATTAGGCTGACATGCCACAACTTTTTCTGAGAACCTACAGGGTCAGAATCCAGAGCCTCTGAAGCACCCAGCTCTGTTCTCTCACCTGGCTATGGAGCGACTCTGTATCATCCCCGGGAGCACTGACTGGTTTCTCACCACTCCCCTTCTCAGTCTGAACTGTGGCATCCTGTTTTCCAGCATTCTGGTCCACTGTACTCGTCCCTTGCTCACACACATCCTTTACAGTCTGGGTTGCTGCTGAAACAGTTTCTGGGACCCATAGGCAACGCTCCAAAGTCTGGATTCCTACATTGTTTTGGCTAGGCCTTTCAATTAAGGCCTTACTAAGTTTGTCCTGATTGGTTTTCGGTTCTTCTGGCACATCTGTCTCCATTGCTTCTTCTTGAGGACTGGATGACCCCTGTGTGGCCATACGCTGAGAGAGAGGAGTAGCAAGGTTCTTGACAGGACTAATGGGCTTTGTAGACTTCTGACTCTGTAAGATCCTGTGGTCCTCTAATTTTTCTTTCTCACCTTCTTGGTTACTTGGAAAAGGGAGTGAGTTTCCCCTGAAAATAAAAACATATAAAAAAAAATCATGTCAAGTAAGCAAGAAAGTGTAAAAGTATGTGTGTGGGGGGGTGGGGGGAAACAGTGGCAAGGAGGAACTATATTTTGATAATTTGAAAAATTTAGGTAAGGGAGAAAGCATGGTGGCCAAGCATATCACCTTGCAAGTCCTCTCGTTATTTTATTCCTAATAAAAAATAATGGTAGGGGAACCAGCAGTTAGTGTAATGGCTATGTCGCTGGACTCCCACGTAGTCGACCGCGTTTTGCGTCCTGGACATGGTGGCTTAAAACTCACACCGGGCGCGTGTGCGTGCGTGCCCAAGATCCCAAGAGGAGAATGGAGGAGAAGGGATTGCGGCATGGCCATCCCCCCGGGGGGTGATTTTCTCGCTTTCTGTCTCTATGTCTCTCTCTGTCTGGTGAGCACATGTGCCCTATAGCGAAAACCTCTCCAAAAAAAAATAAATAATAAATAATGGTAGATAGAGATTTCACCCATGATGACAGTCCTAAATTTTCTTCCATCACTAGTCATAAAACTTGACAGAGGAAAATGAAGTAAACAAAAAGTAAAGCTATTATCAATGGAGATCAGCAGTTGACATGGTCAACTGCAGTCTTGAGTCCTGGACCCGGAAGCTTATTATTCAAGCCGGGCATGTGTGTATGCATGCCCAAAATCCTGAGAGGTGAATGAAAGAGAATGGGTGAATGAAAGAGAAGGGACTGCAGCATGGCCATTGCCCCGGGAGGTAATTTCTTGCTTTCTATCTCTCTGTGTCTCTTTGACAAGTGAGTACACCCTATAGCACAAATCTCTCTCTCTTAAAAAAAAAATGTCATAGACAACGAAAGGAGCTCAGGGATTTACTTCAAAAAATATCAATTGGGTCAAGATACCTCATTGGCTTTATGAATGCTTCTAACATTCCTTACTGACTCCTGGCTTTCCAGGCATTATTCACCCCTTCTGTGCAATAATTTTAGAAAAACAATCCAATCTATAAAGAATAAAGTTTAGATGGGACTCTAGTTTTACCAGCTATACTGGTATATTTATGGTTCAACATTTCAAAATGACTTGGTTCCTGAAAGACAACCCTCAAAATACGTGTTTTCGGTCTTCATGCTAGTATCAATGATCTGTTCATTATTTCACAAGTTTTTGCTGAATGTCTGCTACGAACAAGATTCCATAGTTGCTAACGTGACTAGGGCCTTTCTTTCTTTTTTTTTTTGGAGAGGTCTTTGCTACAGGGCGCATGCGCTCAGAGACAGAAAGCGAGAAATCGCCCCCTGGGGGGATGGCCACTCTGCAATCCCTTCTCCTCCATTCTCCTCTTAGGATCTTGGGCACGCATGCACACGCACCCGGTGTGAGTATGAGTCACAGGGTCCAGGACTCGAACCGCTGTCGACTACATGGGAGTTCAGCGACAGCCATTACACTAACTGCTGGTCCCCAACAAGGGGCTTTCTTAAATGTTCTTATTGATGCTGCAGAATAAATGCTATAAACAAAAAAGTAGGTTATGGAATGATAAAACACCAACAGTGAAAAAAGGGACACTGCCAATCATACACACACACACACACACAAACCCCCAAAAACTTGTAGAACAAAAAATCAAATGCACATAACATAATGCAATGTGCTTTGGTGTAAATGATGAATATGGCAATATTCTTAATTATCACACACTGGGGACCAGCAGGTGGCATGATGGTGAAGGTGCTGGACACTCCCACATGGCCAACCACGGTTCAAGTCCTGAACCTGGTGGCTTACTTTCTCACTTTCTCTCTCTCTCTCTCTCTCTCTGGTCAAATTAAAATAAATGAATGGATAGATAAAATAATTCTTTAAAAAAATAATAAAATTATCACACATTACACGCATTCTTTGAAAAACTATACTGTACCCAACAAAGATATAATTAAATGTAAATAAGAAATTATTAAAAATTAAAACAAAACTCAGTAATAAAAAGAAACCCGATATTCATGGTTTATTCAGTTGTATATTTAAAATACTTAACACAGTGTTTAATATAAAATAGGTGTTTTGAACAAAAGAATGAATGTTCTCTGAATCAACTACAAATTCTTAAAAATTCCGTAAACACATATTAATGTATTTTTAGGCTTTATTTTATGTATATAGCCAGATTAAAGGTAGATCGACTCCATTAAGAGCTCACTATACTAGGACCACATTTGGAATATTTCAGTTTTGGGTGTGACATTTTATAAGGTATAAACTGAGATACACCCAGAAGACAACAGTAAGGATGATAAGGAGCCTAGAAATCATGTTATGTGTTGCTTTCAATATTTGGATAGATGAAGAGAGAGCTAGAGCTGTCTACGATTTGAGAGGAGCTTTCACCTTAGGAGCTGAGCTTGCCTAGGCAGACTGTGTACTCTTAAGGATGGGATAGTTCCAGGTTCACACCTGGAGACCCCCTTGAGTACCCCAGGCACACACAGGCCCCATGATGTGGGACTGGCCAAGGCTGGGCATAGACTGCAGTGTCAAGACTCTGCTGGGGTGCTCTGCCACTCATTGAAGAAATGTTAATAAACTTAAAAGGAAAAAAAAAAAAAAAAACCTCTATAGAGGGCTGTTCAGAGGTGGAGGGGCAAAATGTGGTGCTCTACAATGGTGATCCACATGATAAGACTCCAGGTTTGTGCCCAGAGATCTCTCCGAACACACTGGGCATGCACGTGACCATGATTTGGGGTTCACTAGGGCCAGGGGTGGACTGTGATGTCAACACCTTGATAGGGGAGCTGAATTCCTCTCTCGCACTCATAGATGAAATAATTTTTAAAAAAGAACTCTTAAGGGCTTGTGCAACTCTGGATCTTGATGGAAACAGAGAAAGGAGAGTCAGCCTGTGGTGTAGTGGTTAAGGCAGTTGGATCCCAAATGGCTTACTGTGCACTTTGAGTTCTGGATCTGGTGGCTTAGAAAACAGGCTGGGCGTGTGTATGCACCAAAAATCTTGGAAGGAGGGAACTATGAAGGGACTGGAGCATGACTATCCCCCATGGAAAGTGCTTTCTTACTTTTTTCTCTCTCTGGCAAGCACATGTGTCCTCTGGCAAATTTTTTAAAAAGAGAGAGAAGTTTCTGAGGTTTCTATATTGTTTAGCTCAGCTTACCAAGAGGAGATCAAACAGAGATGTGACATGCAGTTCTAACCAAGAAAGCTTAGTATACATCTGGTTGTAATTCTTCATGTGTTTCTCAGGAACTTCAATTGAACGAGGGTATAGGATTCAATGAAGAAGTGGTAAGAACACAATCACTACCAAGAGATACAACAATAGAACCTACTTATGAGGTTTATAAATGATCAAAAACATCAATAATCGGATCAGCAGTTAGCGTAATGGCTATGTGGCTGAACTTCCATGTCGTCGGCCACGGTTTTCAAGTCCCGGACCTGGTGGCTTAAACTCACGCTGGGCACGTGTGCATGTGTGCCCAAGATCCCAAGAGGAGAATGGAGGAGAAGGGATTGCGGCGTGGCCATCTCCCCTGGGGGTGAGTTCTCGCTTTCTGTCTCTCTCTCTCTCTCTCTCTCTCTCTCGGTCTTTCTGGCAAGCGCACGCGCCCTTATAGCAAAAACCTCTCAAAAAAACCCAAAACCATCATTAATAATGATAATAAAAAACAATGCATGGATTTCAAAATTTCTTTTGCACCAAAATAAACTTGTACTTTCTCTTTTATCACAAAGGGTTTTTTTTGTTTTGTTTCTGTTTTTCTTTTTGCTATAGGGCACATGCGCTCGCTAGACAGACAGAGAGAGACAAAGAGACAGAAAGCGAAAAGTCACCCCTCAGGGGGATGGCCACGCCACAATCCCTTCTCCTCTGTTCTCTCGGGATCTTGGGCACACACACATGGCGTGAGTTTTAAGCCACCAGGTCCAGAATGCGAACCACAGTCAACTACGTGGGAGTTCAGCTACATAGCAATTATGCTAACTGCTGGTCCCAACAAAGTTGTTTATTTTTAAGAGAGATTTTTGCTATAGAGCACGTGTGCGTGTGCACGCCAGTGAGACAAAGAGAGACAAAAAGCGTGAAATCACCCCGCTACGGGCATGGCCACACAGCAATCCCTCCTCCTCCATTCTCCTCTTGGACATGCACACTCACATGTCCAGGGTGAAATTTAAGCCACTGGGTCTGGGATTCAAACCGTGGTCAACTATGTGAGAGTCCAGCGACATAACCATTATGCCATCTGCTGGTCCCTCTACAAACTTTTCAAAGTCATCTTGTATGTAAAGTACTGGGCACAGCAAGTGTTCTATCAATATTTGTTGCACAAGACAAAGCAATTAAAAAGACTCAGTTCACCTGAGATACGATTCAAATATTCATGTTTGAATCTTGGGACATCTAAAATAACAACATCTTGAGCAAACTGGAAATGGTCAAACAGGACCTGACTAATTTCAATAACTCAATTTCAATAATTCAATTGCCATTGTTTCTCATCCTTACTTTTTTTTTTTTTTTTTTTAGGGAGATTTCTGCTAAAGGGCATGTGTGCTCACCAGAGAGAGAGAGAGACAGAAAGCGAGAAATCACCTCCCAGGGCAGACAGCCACACTGTAATCCCTTCTCCATTCTCCTCCTGGGATCTTGGGCACACATGCACATGTGCCCAGCATGAGTTTTAAGCCACCAGGTTCAGAACTTGAACTGCCATCAACTATGTGGGAGTCTAGTGACGTAACCATTACGCCTTTCTGCTGGTCCCCATCCTTACACATTCTACCTCCTGCCATACACTGAGTATCAGTGCCTCCCCCTCAACTCATAAGTGAATCCTAACCCCTCAAGTGATGGTATTAGGAGGTGGGGCCTTTGTGAGAGGATTAGAGATCTTACAAAAGAGACCTCAGAGAGCTCCCCTGCCCCCATTCACCATGTGAGGGCAGTTTCTATGAACCAGGAAGTAGGCCTTCACTAGACACCAAAGCTACCAATGCTTTGATTTAGGACTTCCTTCAGAACTGTTAAGAAATAAGCAATGTCCTGGAGCCAACAGGTGGCACAGTGGTTAAAGCACTGGACTCTCACAAGATCGACCATGGTTGAGTCCTGGACCAGCTCCTTGAAACTCATGCCGGTGTGTGTGCATGCATGCCCAAAATCCCAAGAGGAGAATAGAGAAGGGATTGAGGCGTGGCCATCCCCCTGGGAGGGTGATTTCTCACTTTCTGTCTGTCTTTCTAGCGAGTACAAGCGTTCTACAGCAAAACTCTCTTAAAAAAAAAAAATAAAAAAGAAAAGAAAAAGATAATGTCCCAAGACACTATAAAGAAGGAATCTTTATAGGCTGTCTCCCTAGCTTTAGCAGTTGGGTCCTGTACATAAGAAGCCAGATTCCACATGGCTGACTGCAGTTGGAATCCTGGCCCCAGTGGCTTAAAAATATACCAGTGCATGTATGTGGATATCAAAATCTTGATGGGATGGAAAAATAGAAGAAACAGGGTTGTGGCATGACCACACCCCACTGGGGGTGGGGAATACATACATGTTCACGTGTTCTTTCTGTGTGCGTGCATGTGTGTGTGTGTGTGTATATATCTTGAGTGAATATGCCCTCCAGCAATTATAGGGAAAAAAAGATTTAGAGGAATCTTTAGTATGAAAAGAGTTTTAGAAGCAATGAAAACCCAACAAATTATAAGAAGTACCACACTTCTCGTTTTCCATTACTTCCAGTTAATACATTTTACTCTGGTCACAATATGCCAGATTTAGAAAACAAATTTTAGCAGAAAAAGCCTGGATAAAATTAACCTTAAAGTGAAATGGGGAAGACTAAACCTCCATATTTGACAATCGCCTAACCATTCTGTTTTGAGTGTAAGTCTGTCCATGGAGTAACTAGAATCAAATCCAGCTGGATTCCCAAGTCTTTGTTCTACCAGTGTGTCTTAGTCCATTTTTACATTGCTAACAGAAACACCTGAGACTAGGTGATTATCACAGAAATAGAAATTTGTTTGCAAAACTCACCATTTTGATGGCTGGAAAGTCCAAAGGTATCACAAAATGGTGGAAGGCAGAACTTTTAGCAGAGCACAGCATGATCAATGTCCATGAGTTTATGTCCCATTCTGGTCCCGGTCCCTCTACCTATATACCCACCAGAATGCAATCACAGAGGCCCCACCCTAATGGATTATTATACCCAAAGGCCCCACCCTGGGCCACCATGAAGGAATTAAGTTTTCACTGAAAACTTTTATAATACAATCAAGGTGTAACACATGAATTCTAGGGAGATATCCAAATTAAAAAACATGAACCTTACAGGGATAAGCCATTATTCAAACTATAACATAAGGTTAAACAATATCACCAACATCTTGGCCCTTCTATTTCAAGATACTCTTAATAAAAAATCAACGCCATCAATAAATTCAGTAATAGCTGGATGGTTACTACACTTTTATTGTAGAATCACATGAAGTGGTATATTACAGAACAAGTTTTTCAGCTCAATAGAAGATACATTTCTTTACCATCTGGGCCATATGATTCCCAAGAACACTAACAAGTTCACATTTAATAATGAATGCCCAGAATGCCCAGTAAATGCACTTACATGTTTCTTCTGAATTTTTTTCTTCTTTTTTTAATGAGTGAGAGAGAAAGAATTAAGTTTTTCAACAAGGTCTCATTGTACTACAGTTGTGCCCCAGCCTTTCTGTTAGCTTCCCATAATCAGACTATCCAGGGAGCCAAATCTGGCCTCCCATGCAGCCTCCAGCCTCTCAAGTGCTGGCACTACCTGTGTGCTACTGTCTGGGCCTTTTCTATATATTTCTATCAATAGAAAACTCAGCTTGAAAACACACTGCAAGCATGTACAAATGCCCAGGAACTTGGGTCTGGGGAACAAGACAAAGGGAACTGAAGTATGACCAAGCTCTGTTAAGAGTGCTTCTCTCTCTTTCTCTTTCTATATGTGCTCATGTGCTCTACCATGAATTTTTTAAAAACATAGAAATTATGCTACCAATACCACTATTAGGGATATACCTACCTACCTATCTCCCTCTCTCTCTCTCTCTCTCTCTGGTGAACACATATACCCTTGAGCAAATTTTAGGGAAAAAAAAAATGGGGACCAGCACACGGCATAACGGTTAAATCACTGGACGCCCATGTAGTTGACTGCGGTTCAAGTCCCAGACCTGGGGGCTTAAAACACACTGAGCCCATGTGCATGTGTGCGTGTGTGCCCAAGATCCTGACAGGAGAATGGAAAAGGGATTATGGCATGGCCATCGTCCCTTGGGGGTGATTTCTAGCTTTCTGTCTCTCTGTCTCTGTCTCTCTGGAGCTCACATGCACCCCATAGCACAAACCTCTATTTAAAAAAAAAGAAACAAACAAAGAATGCTTACCTGATGGATGTGGAATTCTCACTTTGAGCCTCATCCTCTTGCTGGGCTTTGCAGATGCAGCTAGACACCTGGACCTCGGATGTGCTCTTCTGGGGACTAAGATAATACATTAAATACTTTGAAAGGTAAAGTACTTGTGGAGATTACCCTTTAAGGCATAGAAGAAATAAAATCCTTTCTCTGCATCCCAAACTCCAAACCAACTTACGCAAAAATGCAAATTCTTCATGTATGTTCTAATTAGGGTAAGAAACTTTTAAAGAAGACTCACTGGGAGATAAAGGATTATATAAAATACCATAAAGATACAATCAGCAAAATTCGGATGACAGAAAATCACAGAACAGGGACCAGCAGGTGGCATGGTAGTTAAGGGCACTGGACTCCCATATGGCCAACCGCAATTCAAGTTCCGGACCTGGCAGCTTGCTTTCTCGCTTTCCCAATCTCTCTCACTCTGTCCCTCTCTGGTCAAATTAAAATAAATAAATAAACAAATAAAGTTAAATAAAATAATTCTTAGGGAAAAAAAGGAAATTATGTAAAGTAAATGTGGAAAAATGTAAAAATACATAAATGAAAGAAAAAAAAAGGAAATTATGGAATGAACAATCCAGTTCTTTCAACAAATAAATAGTAAGAGGGCCAGCCAGGTAGATGTAGCAGGACAAATACTATGCAAAGCTAAAGCCACATGGAGAGGCCACATAAGGTCCCAAATTTGCATCACGAGGTCTCCCTATATAAGCCAGACAAAAGCACACATGCTCATGATTTTGAATGTAAGGAATGGGGTGGTTCATGATGTAACAACTCTGTTAACGATCCCTTTCCTTCCCTCCTCCCTCCTTCTCATGAAAAACCTTAAATAATTATTTATTTTATTTTATTTATTCATTCATTTATTTTAACTTGACCATAGACACACACGCACACACACAGAGAGAGAGAGAGAGAGAGAGAGAGAGAGAGTAATTTTATTTATTCATTCGTTTGTTTTAATTTGACCAGAGAGAGAGAAAGAGAGAGAGAGAGAAAGTGAGAAAGGAAGCCACCAGGTCCTGGACTTGAACCGTGATTGGCCATATGGGAATGTCTAGCACCTTAACCACCACGCCACCTGCTGGTCCCCATGAAAAAACTTTTTTTAAAAATTTATTTTTTTTTCTCCTAGGTTTTGCAAGTGTGCTCATTGGAGAGAGACAGGGAGAGAAGAGAGAGTGAAGGAAAATGAGAAATCAGGCCCTAGCAAGCATGACCACACCATAATCCCTTCTCATTCAGTCTCCTCTCAGGGTTTCAGACAAGCATGCACCTGTGCCCAGGGTGATTTTTAAGTCTCCAGGTCTGGGCTTCTTGAGCTTCAGAATTGGTCATGTAGGAGATGATTTAGCATGTTAACCTCTACACTACCTGCTGGCCCCTAAAAATGCTTTGTGAAGAGAAAAAAAAAAAAAAAAAAAGAGGGAATCTATACATTTAAAAAATTAAAAAGCATATCAATCAAATGTAGTGTGTGGGAGCTGGCATGTGGTGTGGCAGTTAAAGGTGCTGGACTCTTACATAGCCAACTGTGGTTCAAGTCCCAGACCTGGTCACTTGCTTTCTCACTTTCCTTCTCTCTCTCTCTCTGATCAAACTAGAAAATAATAATAATGAAGTTAAATAAAAAATCATTCTTAAAAAAAATGTAATGTGTGAACCTTATTTAGATATTATTTTTTAAAAACTGTAAAAAAAATCTTGAGGCAATAGAGAAATTTGAACTCTGATATTTGATGATATTAAGGAACCATCAATTTTTAAAAGTGACTTAGCAATATGGCTAAGTTTAAAATAAGAACCTTTATCTTCTGGAGACAGTATTGAAGTATTTATAGTCAAAATGGTATAATGCTAGGATTATCTTCAAAATAATCTTACAAGTGAATCAAAACTGGCTATCAATTGATTATTTTTTAAAATTGGTTATAAATATATGGCCGTCCATTATACTCTTCTCTCTCTACATTTACATATGCTTGAAACCATCCACAGTAGATTTGAGAATTAAGGGGACACCAAATATTCTGAACCAGGTCCAGTTTCACACAACACTTAAAAGCTTCCTCTAGATCTGGCTGCTGTTGCATAGCAGTGAACATTAGCATCTTACAGTGCTGGAAGCCATATGGCAAATGAGGTTTGGATCCTAGGTCAGCCTAAAAACATACTAGGAGCCCAGGATCCTGAGGAGCTAGAGGGGTGGGAGAGGGGGTACTATGGCATGATAAGATCTTTTTAAGTGTGCTCTCTCTCTACCTCCCCCCACACATATCTATTATTTAAAAATAAATAAATAAAAGCTTCACCTAAATGCAGAGGAAGCAATAATCACTGACAATATTCTAACAATTTACTTTAAATGGTTTCTTATGGGAACTCCAATGGTAAGATGAATAGTCAAAATTTTTTTAATCTAGATTCTTTTTTTTAATAATTATTTTCTATTTAACTTTATTTATTTTAATTTGACCAAAGAGGAGAGAGAGAAAATGAGAAAGCAAGTTGCCAGGTCTGGAACTCAAACCACCATCAGCCATGTGGGAGTCCAACCCCCTTAATCACCACACCACCTGCCAGTCAAAATCTAGATTCTTATATACAAAATTTGTCTTACAGCAATACTCAGGAATTTCATCTCTTCCATGATTCACACTGCAACCCTATGCTCGAATTTTCTCTTATCTGCCTCCTATAGTCTACCCTATGGGTTCAGGAAACTTCAGTAGCATATTCTGTCCTCTCTTAATGTGCACATGTACAGACAGGATCTTGGGCCTGGCATATAATTCTATTAAAGACAAAGAGACTGGATATAAACTCCACTTTCTTCAACTGGAAAGACTACATATTATTAAATGGTCAACTGAAAAAGGACTGTAAGGTACTTATCTTTCAGATTAAATATGCAAGAACCTAGAGAACTAATCTCTCTAATACAGCTAAGAACAGATCAAAGGATTTTTAGCAATTTTTTTTAGAAGTTTTTGCTATAGGGTGCATGCGCTCGTCAGACAGACAGAGAGAGACAGAAAAACAGAAAGCGAGAAATCACCCCCCAGGGGGGATGGCCACGCCACAATCCCTTCTCCTCCATTCTCCTCTCAGGATCTTGGGCACGCACACACACGCGCCTGGTGTGAGTTTTAAGCTACCGGGTCTGGGACTTGAACCATGGTCAACTACATGGCAGTCCAGTAGCCATTACACTAACTGCTGGTCCCAGATCAAAGGATTTTAAGCATGGTCAGAAACTCATAACTGAGGGATAAATTTAGTTCATGGTCACGTTTTATTAGAAATTTTATTTTTTAAAATCTAAATTTCTCATTTTATTCTCAAATGACAACCACTGGCTAGAACTGAATGGGGCATACATTTAGTTGGCCTTCCTCCGTAACACTCCAGCTGTCTCGCCTAGCCTGCTTTACTTACAGTACCTGCCTCTCTCTGATTTAAGAATCCTTGCCTGTATTTTACCAAGTGCTGCTAATGTTTTCATGCTGCATGACTCATGCCTGAAGCAAATGAAACAATTCTACTCTCACAGTCACTAGATGGCAATGCTTAACCACCAAAACTTCAGTATGGGGTCATTCTCATCCTCAAAGCAATACAGCATTCATGACAAAGCAAAAATAACAGCTTAACACAGTCATCTGGCAGGCAGAAGAGAAAATGACCTAAGGCTGTAGCTGAGTATATAATAACAGAATGTATAAGATCTACAGCTATTCTTGTTAAGTCCTCTAGTCCTTCAGCAATAGCAAAAATAAGTACATTAATAAATCCGTCTCATCAATAAAAAAAAGTTTTAAAAAAGGTCCTCTCTTGAACAAAAAGAACAAACTTTGAATATCCTAGTTCTAAGTAAAACAAAAGCTTTATGGGACTTAAAGTATTAGTAAGAAAGCCTATGATCTGGGGACCAGCGGATGGTGTGGTAATTAAGGCGCTGGACACTCCGACATAGCCAACCATGGTTCGAATCCCGGACCTGGTGGCTTGCTTTCTCACATTCTCTCTCTCTCTCTCTCTCTAGCTCTCTCTCTGTGACTCTCTAGTCAAATTAAAAATAAATAAATGAATAAATAGTTGAGTAAATAATTCTTTAAAAAAAAAAAAGAAAGCCTATGATCAATTTAAGACACTGTTAAATCCTTTGTGCTACAGTTTACTCTAAGTTGTTTCCTCTGTTGATAAATCATTGTCCCCTCATTACCAGTATATTTGTATTAAACTCCTCTAAATAGCAACCAGCTCTGGTTACCTGGCAACAGCCTCAGCAACAGCAGTAGATCCATTTTTTCTTTCACCCGTTACAGGCTCTGAATAAAAACAAAGCAAGGAGAGAAAGGAAAGAGAAATAGGTTTTGTTAGTTTCACACCTAAAACCTTCACCCTGCTCTCCCAGTATTTGTAACAAACAGCAAAAAGAAATAGAAATCAAAATAATAAGTGAACATAAAAAGATTTAATGGCATGCTTTCCTTATTTTCACCTTCTTTTTTTTCAAACTTTCTATAAAAGACTAATTAGTTTGGTTAAAACTACAATATAATTTTGAAATTAAAAAAAGTCTAAATCCTAAGAATTTTTAAAACAAAGTAAAAATCTTAAAAATAAAAAACTTTTAATAAAATAGAAAGAAAACATTTCAGGTTAGTCTGACACACCAATTTTAAGTAGTGTCCAGTTTTAAGATAGTTCACAGGGGCCGGCAGGTGGTGTGGTGGTTAAGGTCGCTGGACTCCCACATGGGCGACCGCAGTTGAGTACTGGACCTGGAGGCTTGCTTTCTCACTCCGCCCCACCCTCCCCACCCCTTCGTCCTTCCCTGGTCAAATTAAAATAAATAAATAAAGTAAAATAAAAAATAATTCTTAAAAAAAAAAAGAATGCTCACAAAAAGAAGGTACCCAAGTTCTAAACTAGTCCTCCTTAGTCTGTTTCCTCACCTATAAGAGAGAGAAAACAGGACCAACCTTACAGACCTGTTATAAAGATGAAATAATGTGAGTAAAATTGTGAATACAGTGATTGATACTATGTTCCCAATACAGATTGAGTATCCCTTATCCAAAATGCTTTAGACCAGAAGTGGTTTAGATTTCAAAGTGTTTCAAATTTTGGAATATTTGTGTATATATGAGATATCTTGGGGATGGGGCCCAAGTCCAAACACAAAATTCATTATCATTTGACATATATCTTATAAACATAGCCTGAAGATAATTTTATACATTTTTATATTACAGTACTTTTGACTGCAATCTGTCACAATGGCCAAGTGTGGAATTTTCTGTTTGTCACATCCTGTTGGCACTCAAAAAGTTTTCAATTTTGAAACATTCAAATTTTGAATTTTTAGATCAGGATGCTCAACCTGTATAAGAAAAGATAGAAATATATACTGGTGAGACCATTTAAACATTTAGCTCCATGTAAGGACTTTTTAATTATAATTTAGATCTAAAGATAAAGTAAAATTTTAGCTTACCACATATATGTTCTCTCTTGATAAACATTTGATTTATTCAGAGATAACAATACAGATGGAATCATGTCATACTTTACTTTTTACTGTGGTTCTAAGAGTCATATCGATAAGCACTGAGAAGCAGAACAGCATTTTGATTTTGGAACCAAACTGCCTGGATTTTAGTTCAGGCTACTCCATTTACTAGCTATATGACTCTAGGGAAGGCACTCAACCTTTTGGTGTGTCAGCTTCCTTGTATATAAAATTAGGATACTAGAATCTATTTCACAGGTTTACAAAACTTAATAAACTATACATGTAAAGTACTTGGCATACAGTTAAAAGGTCCAGTTATATTACCTAATATTTTTCTTTGATCTGAGAGAAGTCCGTCTTATTCAAGTCCACATACTATATGTGGTCTTTGAAATCTTCCTCTCCTAACTCCCTCAGGACCTTTATTAATCAATGCTCCCCCTATTCCCTCATCTTTAATCTATACCTCTCTCTTTCGGATCCTTCCATTCAATCTATAAACTTGCTCAGGCCCCTCCCAGTCAAAAACAACAAATCCTTCCTCAACCATGCACTTCCCTGTCCTCAACCATGCACTTCCCTCTAGTTGCTATGTTTTCTCTTCCTTTCAATCATGTGAACTTCTCAGAAATAGGGAGAAATCTGCTGCCCATTATCCTTTTCCCTATTCCTCAATTACCTTTAGTATAGCTTCCACCCCAACCACAACAAAATGGCTCTTACCAGAGTCGAATGCAATTTATTAGGTTGTCAGGAAAGTTATAACATATTTTCTATGCAAAAATGTGTCATGACTCTTACAACAACTCAATACACTTTCTGATATATCTTACTAGACCTCACTCCTATGCCTGGCATTGTTACCTTCTTAAAATTCTCCTCTTTACAGCTTCGTACTACTCTCCTAGTTCTCCTCCTCTCTAATGTTTCCTTTTATGAGACTTCCTCCTCTTTTAACCCACTTAAATGGCACTTACAAACTACCTAGTGGAAAAATTACAAGTTTTAGAGTTAAACCATACTCAAATTCCTGCTCTACTTCTTACCAATTATTGTGATCTTATGCATACCATTTAAAAACTTCTCAGTTATGTTTTCTCACCAATAAAATGAAGTCAACTTGGAAATACCATTGTATTATAAAAATTAGATGAAACAATTTATATAGTCATTCTGTATTTTTTTTTCTTTTCCTTCTTACTTCCATATTCAACTGGCCCTTACAGTTTTGTCTGCTCTAGTCACCTCTCAAATTCTTCCCTCATCACCACCACCACTACCAATGACCTCACTTCCTGGTTAAAAACCAAGTAGGAATATGGCAGGCAGGCAAATAAGAAATGGACAATGCAAGGAAACGAACCATCATGCACAAAGGCACAAAGTTTTGAAACATATAGCCAATCTTTTTTTAATCTTCCCCCTTTCTTTTAAACTTTGCTATAGGGCATACGTACTCACCAGAGAGAGAGAAAGTGAGAAAGCAAGCCACGAGGTGTGAACTCAAATGACATCAGTCATGTGCAAGTCTAACATCCTAACCACCATGTCACCTGCTGGCCCCATACAGCTGATCTTTTTTTTTAAAGAATCATTTAATTTAATTGTATTCATCATCATTATCCTTGTTTGACCAGAGAGAGACAGGGAGAAAGAGAAAGTGAGAAAGCAAGCCACCAGGTCCAAGACTTGAACCATGGTTGGACATGTGGGAGTCCAGTGCACTTAACCACCTCGCCACCTGCTGACCCCACAGCTGATCCTTTTAAAAAAGCAAATCTAGGTCCAGCTGTGATAATGTAGTGGTAGTGCAGTGCTATGCAATATTAGAAGCCATATAAAAGATTGGGGTTCGGTTCTCAGGTCAATCTGTTCATGTGGTACGCGCATGTCCTTAATTATGGCAGTCTGGGAAGGCTGGAGGGAGGATTATGACATCAGACTCTACTGAAGGTGCTTGCCTCTCTCACACACAAATACACACACACACATGTTCTGTCTCATGAAAGAAAGAAAAGGACACATTTTTTAAAAAAGCAAATCTGATATTCTCTTCAGCCTACAATTCTTCAGCTTCTCCCCATGATATGAAGGTCTTCTGAGTCTTAATTCCTACTTCACAGTCACTTCTCTGATTCTTCTCGATATTTCAGCCACCAACATATAGAAACAACTTGCAATTTAAGTGGGAAAGTGTTAACATAAATCTGTAATCCTAAATTTTCTACTATTTTCTGAACTCTTTCTAAATATGAAAACACATTATTTTACATAGACACAGATTTGTCGAGTTTTTAAGTTTATTTTTTACTTCTTACATGAGAGAAAGATGTGAGAGAGAGAAAAAGAGAGCAGCACACCCTTGACAGGTGCTGCGATCCCTTCCCTTAGCCCTCCAGTTAAGTTAGGTTCTCAGACTCTGTGGTATCCACATTCCCAGTGTGTTTCAGGTCAACTAGAGCTCTGAACCCATGTTGGCCATGTGGCTTCCAGCACTGCAGAGCAGCATGTTACTGCCTACAGGAGCGCTGCTGAGCCTGGACACAGGTATAATACAGAGACACAAAAGCCAGCAACATAGACACTGTAAGAGGAGAATCTTCAGTAACATGGTAGAGAGTAGTCAAAAACAATTTTATCTTTGAGAATAAGACTTTACAAATATATTTCTAATTTTAAAAGTATCAATCCTCATAACTCAAGATAGTTAATACCCCTCTGATGATCTGAAGTTACTAAGTACTTAAGATTAGCATAAAACTTACTTTCCAGACTAAACTGCAAAGACTCTTCACTCGCCTCAGTTTCAGGACTGACCAGTTTCATTCTTAGACACAATTTATCATCTTCTTCTGGGGCAGCCTCAGAACCCCCTTTTTCACTCCCAAGTATGGGATCATTGGTCTCCACCATGCTTTCAGACATGACATCACTGGTTGCTACGGTGCTTTCTGGATAGTTGCTGATACCTGAAAGAAGGAAGGCAGGGAGGAAGAAAGAAACAACACTAAAATACAAACATGAAAAACAGCAAATTTCAATGTCATCCATTTGCCTGTTTGGCTCCAAAGTGCTGCAGGGGGTTCCTAGAATAGATCCTGTCACAAAGTATCAACAACTAAGAACTAGTATTGACACCTGGTCTTAAGAGGAGCAACAGGATTCAGTTCCACTTCTGCATCTGGACAAAGGATGCTGCATGAGCCCTCAGCCAACCCACATCTGCCAGCATCAGGCATAGGTAGCAGGAGACTTCAGACGGCATGACTGTTACCTCCCAGCACTGACTAGAGAAAACAAATAGGTTAATGTATTGATAGAAGACTACTGGCTGCTTCAGGGAAGGAGGATCTAATTTTTCCTGCCCTGTCAAGCAGCAGACTAATTAGACAGTGTACTAAATAAATAGTACTTTTACCTATTTCCTATCCCTTCCTTATAAAACAGCTCCACATCATGGCTTAGCACTCAAGTTCTACTGTTGTCTAATATAATAAAATGTGTATAAATATTCCCTGTCTCCCTTCTCTCCACTCTTTCTCATCACCTCTCATCTCCTGTAAATAAAGTCATAGGATTAGACTCCATAGCCTTATTTCTTTTAAGGTAAAAATCTACCTTATTTGGCCCAAACCCTCAGATCTAAAATATCACTGTCATAAATAATGATATCTCAGGACCAGCAGATGATGTAATGGTTACACTGCTGGACTCCCATGTAGTCGACAGCAATTTGAGTCCCAGACCCAGTGGCTTTAAAATCCACGCTGGGCATGTGTGTATGTGTGCCCAAAATTCTGAAAGAATGAAGGAGAAAGGATTGCAGCATGGCCATCCTTCTAGGGGGTGATTTCTTGTTTTCTGTCTCTATGTCTCTGTCTCTCTGGAGGGGGTACGTGCCCTATAGCAAAAATCTCTCAAAAAAAAAAAAAAAAAAAAACTCAGAAATTCTGCCTCAAGTATCATTTTTTTAAATTAACTCACCAATAGGAGTACTGTGTCTTTTGGGCTCCAACTTTAGGTGCCCAATAAGAGGTGGAGTTGCACCAGTCAATGGTGGGATAATATCACCTTCTTTAGGCAAAGTGAAATGAAATGGAGTGTCTGAAAAGCAAACAAAAACAAAGAAAAAAAACAAAAACAAAAAAGGTGATAAAAAAATAAAAAGCAAATCAAAACAGAAGTTTAAAATAAGTGAGATAAGAAGAATCATAAGAAATATTTCAATTACTTTCTTCCTTTGCTTTCAAATTCTGTTTCACTTCGATCCCACTCGCCAGGTCTCCCAACCTATTTCCTACCACCCTCTCTGCTCTCTTTATAGCCATCAACAACAGGACTGACACAAGGTAGGCAATCAGGGAACAGGCAAATAAAAGAAACCCAGAGTTCAGAGGACCCCAGGAACATGAGATCAAAAGAAACAGGAATACCCAAGCTCCAAGACAGCATATCCGGGGATATTTAGCAGTACAAATCAGGCCAGTTTCAAATTTAGATGTAATTTTGTGCAATCCTAATCAAAAGAATTCATTAATAAGCCTCTGAAGTCTATGAAATTCTCGAGAGAAAATTCTGATGTTGCTGCTATGGTCACAATCTACTCAAAGAGGTGACAAATAATCTCACAGTCCAAAGGACTTCAAAATATTCTTTAGTTCTAACAGAAATCTAAGGGTTTCAAAAAAAAAGTTCAGCAGTACCGACCAGCAATCACTCTAAGCCAAAGCGGTACTTCTTATACCTAAACTCTACACTAGGATAAATCGCACATACATGACATCCCCATTATGCAAATGTTGGTTAGTTGTTATTAAATTATGACAAATAGGGGCTGGCAGGTGGCGTGGCAAGGGCGCTGGACTCCCAAATAGCCGACGCAGTTCGAGTCCCAGACCTGGTGGCTTGCTTTCTCACTTTATCTTTCACTCTGTCCCTCTCTGGTCAAATTAAAAAAATAAATAAGTAAAGTTAAATCAAAATAATTCTTTCTAAAAAAAATTATTACAAACATAAATCATCTGTCAAGACATAAGACCACTTTTCAACTAGTTCCTGGTTTCAAATATTTTGCTAACCAGAATTAGTAAACTGTCAAGACTACATTTTCTGATTTCCTAATTACTTATTTCTTTTAGTAAAATGATTATATTTCAGAGAAAATAATTATTATGCCAGACTGTCCCTTAATCCCCATATATGAAAACTGGTTCTTACTTTCATGAAATGGTTCAAAGTAACTATAATCAGGTTCATCTAGTTACTATACTACTTGTGAAAACAGCTGCTTCTTTCATCTTTTTCCACTTCACTTCTATCATATATTACCTTTAATATCAAGCACCTGATGTTTTTTCCTTCAAAATCACAAATAACAAAAAACTTTTACATCTACTAATACACGTGAAAGAAAATAAATTAGTAACCTAAAGGGATGGAAAAAAAAAACAAAAACAAAAACAACAAAGATGAAATGGCCCCACAAATTAGTTAAGGAAGTCAAATCCCAGTTGGTCAACCACAGTTCAAATCCCAGCCCCAGCAGCTTGAAAAACAAACCAGGCACATGTGAATGTGCTCAAAATCCCACGAGAATAAAGAAATGAAGAGGGAGTTGGGCATGAGCACACCCACTGGGAGATATGCTTTGTCTCCCTCTCTCTTTCTCTCTCTCTCTCTAACAAATACATGTGCCCTCTGGCAATTAAAAAAATTAAGTAAGGGGCCAGCAGGTGGTGTGGTGGTTAAAGAAACTGGACTCCCACATGGTCAACCACAGTTCGAGTCCTGGACCTGGCGGCTTGCTTTCTCACTCCCCCTCCCCCTTCTGTTCCTCTCTGGTCCAATTAAAATAAATAAATAAATAAAGTTAAGTAAAACAATGCTTTAAAAATTAAAGATGAGAGTTACATATGGTCAGTTAAAGAAACTATATAAAGTATGACTGGAGGGACCAGCAGTTAGTATAATGGCTATGTTGCTGGACTCCCCCATAGTAGACCACAGTTCGAGTCCTGGACCTGGTGGCTTAAACTCATGCTGGGTACATGTGCATGCGTGCCCAAGATCCCGAGTGGAGAATGGAGGAGAAGGAATCGCGGCGTGGCCATCCCCCCAGGGGGTGATTTCTTGCTTTCTGTCTCTCTGTCTCTCTCTGTCTTGGGCGCACATGCCCTATAGCAAAAACCTCTCAGAGAATTTCAACATCACATTTAACTGACAAAGAATCTCACCACAGTCAGAGAAAGAAGAGAAATGAGTCAGGTAGATAAGCATCCTCCAGTAATTCCTTATAAAGCAAATTCTTTAGGATAACAAGAACTTAGAATAGATACTGAAACTAAAAGCAAAACACCTTACAAAACCTCATACATTCCAAAGATACATTTTATAGCATTTTCATTCCGGAAATAATCAAGAATGAAGATCATCTGCACTGCTCTATTTAGAGGAGCCACCCCTCATGACTAATCATCCAGACTTTAATTCTGTACAAAATCTTTAAGTAGGCCCTTCTATATGACACATCAAAATGTGCAATATAATATGAAACATTAATTACTGTAAATGATTTTTCTGTAATAGGGTAAAAAAATTATAAAAAGTAGAGGCCACCAGGTGGCATTAGTGGTTAAGGCACTGGACTTCCACATGACTGAGACCATGGTTGCAGTCCTGGACCATAAGGCTTGAAACTTATGCTAGATGCATGTGCATGTGTGTGCGTGCCCACAATCCCAGGAGGAGAATGGAGAAAAGATTGCAGCATGACCATCCTTGCTGGGAGGTGATTTCTCACTTTCTCTTTCACTATCTCTTTCTGACTCTTTCTGGAAAGTGCACATGCCCCTCTGGCAAAAACCTTAACAAAAAAAAAAAAAAAAGCAATAGCTTAAAAAAATAATTTTAGTGCACCATTTATATAACTGGATCACTAAAACCTAAAGAGAAACTGAGACTTACAGACTATAAAGGGCGCACTGCCATGACCTTCAACCAGTCTTCAATGCCTCCTTCTAAAAATTATTACAACAGCTCATTAATCATTTTCTCTGAAGTCTCCCTCTCTCTCTAACCCCTATTCTTCATGCACACTGAAACCAAAGCAGCCTCCTATAACATATGGCTTTGAACAAGTTAGCTCATAGTCCAAAGATGTCACGGTTTCCACAAGATAAATTCCTAACTCTATAGTTAGCACTCAAATTAACTAGCAGCAGCCTACATTTCCAATATTTAATTAACCATGCTCATAAAGCTTTTATTCAACGTCTCCCAAATGCTTTCCCATTTCTCTGCTTTTGTTCACTCATCTAAAAACCACTAGTCAAATTATCATCAAATCCTAAAAAATACATTTACTGGCATATTTTATCCTTTTAAATTTACTATAACTTTCCATATATTCAGTTCTCTCTCTAATACTTAGCAGCATTCTTATTTTATTTAAATTATCAAGTTCTTTCTTGCTTTTCCAGATTATCATGGGCTATCCTGTTATATGCCAACATACCACCCAATAAAGGAGGATATAAATGAAAAAAACAAGAGGTGCCAGCAAATGGTATAATGGTTATATAGCTGGACTCACTCATAGTGGACCATGGTTCGAATCCCACACCCAGCAGCTTAAAACTCACACTGGGAGCATGTGTGTGCGAGTCCAAGATCCTGAGAGGAGAATGGAGGAGAAGGGAGTGCAGGGTAAGGTGTGTGTGTGTGTGTGTGTGTGTGTGTGTGATTTCTTACTTTCTGTCTCTCCCACGAGCACACATGCCCTATAGCAAAAATCTCTCTTAAAAAAAAAAAAAAAACAAAAAACTTAATACCAATTGCTCAACCACCTGAGTGGGTAGTCTGTCTGTATTATTAAGGTCTTTACAGAATTCCTTAGTCCAAAGCAATATTTGAAACTCTTAATGTCTGTTATAGAGTCCATTTTTTCTTCTTTTGTTATTAAAATAATTATAAGAACTGGTCACTTTTTATAACTAATTAAAAATATATGAATTTCTGGGGACCAGCAGGTGGTGTGGTGGTTAAAGCGCTGGACACTCCAACATGGCTGACCAGGGTTCAAGTCCTGGATCTGGTAGCTTGCTTTCTCACTTCCTCTCTCTTTCACTCTCACCCTCTGTCTCTTTCTGGTCAAATTAAAAAATAAGTGAATCATATATATATATATATATATATATATGAATTTCTGGGTGACACTGTGCATGAACACTCTACTCCAACAGTCTGTCTTTGAAATTAATGGCCAGTTAAGATGACATTCCACCAGTAAACTAACAAAGGTTACTGTTAGAGCATGAAACATATCTCCATAATCTCCATAATAGGGACCATGATCATTACTAACCTTTTATAGATTACAACTTGTGAATTTAATTAAAGATTAACTGAACCTGTTATGGTTTTTCACATCATCACCCCACAATAAATTAGTTCTGTGTTGATTAAGGTTGAGTTTCCAAGTACCATCTTTGTATATTTGGTTTTTCAGGCTTAAGAGGTGCTCTCCATAAAGAGATGTTTGAAGAGGTCTCCAAACTGTTAACAGTGACAAGTTAACTACACAAAGAGGCTTTTAGAGCAATTCTCTGTTCCCACTATTAACCCCTATTCTCTCGATCCTCTATCTTCCCTTTCCTGTACTGTTTGAACATTTTGCACAACTTTAAGCATGTATTTTTTTAATCAATAAAGCTATCAATGGCAACAAAAAAGACAAAAATGTCCTTCTAACTTTAGCATACGAAACTTAATGAACAAACCTGAGTCTCACTCAACTCATACCTATATTCTCATCTTTTCGGACTGATGAACCATTAACGTTTTAGTTTCCTCCCATTTAAATTAATATCTCAAGATTTAGCAACTAAAAAACTGTATTTAAAGTACACATTTTTTTTTCTGTTCTTTTTATAATGCTCTTCTGAATTATTCACTTTTACAATAACTCTCTAAGTGCAAAATTATTATTCTCCTTTCATTACTTTTCCAAAGGCTGTCTTCATTGCTTTTTGTTGCTTAAAGAACTGAAATTGTAAACAGAAAATCACATATTAGCATTTTTGTGTGTGTATGTGAGAGATTTTTGCCATAGGGTGCATGCACTCGCCAGAGAGTCAGAGAGAGACAGAGACATAGAAAGTGAGAAATCACCCCCTGGTGGAGAGGGGGGATGGCCATGCCACAATCCCCTCTCCTCTATTCTCGCCTCGGGACTCCAGGCATGGGAGTCTCAAGCTGCCAGGTCCAGGACTCAAGTGGCAGTCGGCCATATGAGAGTCCAGCACCCCAACCATCACGTCACCTGCTAGCCCCCATATACTATCGTTTTTAATAATCTGGATAAATACAAGTAAAATAATAAATTTTACTATGACAGTGTCTATGACAAAAAAAAAAGCTGACTATCAATAGTGTAAACAAGAATTCAGTGCTCACTTCGGCAGCACTTATACTAAAAACAAGAATTCATAAAAAATACTATTAACATAATAGAACTGTTATCTCAACATTTTAGAAGCTGCTTTTCCATACAACTGTTAAAATCATTAAAAAGTACTCCTGGGGCTCCAGGTGGCATGTTAGTTAAGGGTGCTGGACTACCACATGGCCAACCGCAGTTCAAGTACTGGACATGGCAGTTTGCTCTCTCACTTTCTCCCCCTCTTCTTGCTGTGTCCCTTTCTGGTCAAATTAAAATGAGTAAATAAAAAAGTCAAGTTAAATTAATTAAAAAATAAGTCAAGTATATAAAAATAAGTCAAGTTAAATAAAATAATTCTTTAAAAATAAAAGTACTCCTAAGTAACCACATTAAAACAATACATAAACCCTGACACTTCCTTAACCTAGGTCACTAACACCACTTACAGAGAATAAAGTTACAAAAATATTCAGTAACAGAGAATTTTAGGTCATTCAGATAATTCTTAATTATAACTTCAGAATCAGAGAAACTATATTATCACATTTTACAGAAGAGAAAAGCACAGATGTGGGGCCGGCAGGTGGAATGGTGGTTAAGGCACTGGATTTCCACATGGTCAAGTGTGGTTTGAGTCCTGAACCTGGCAGCTTACTTTCTCACTTCACCCCACATGGTCAAATTAAAAAGCAGTAATAATAAGTAAAATAAATAAATAAATACACACACACACACACACACACACACACACACACACACACAGAAGAAGACTGGGACCTAACTAGAAAAATACAGATATGAAAACTTTCTCAATATTCACACTGACTATTCCTGAGTTATAATGCTAATGAACATCAAATGATATCTGATCCCACAATTATTGCCATAAAGAAAAAATTATCAAACCAAATTTAAATTTCCCAATTATTCCTTGCTGTTTTTAAATATAAACCCAAGTTCATGTTCAGCCCTGACGCAGCATGCAGTTCTTTCCAATATTCCATTCCAAATTATAATTTGGTTGGAGACAAAAAGCAATGCATACTCATACTCACCACTAGAACTTTCACAGAAGCTTTGTGACGTATGAGCAGAGACCTTCTCCAGGCACTGAGCCATTCCACCTGAGCCTAGCTGCTTTGTATTAACCACTTTTGAATCTTCTGTTAATGAGTGATCTGTTTTCTCTTGAGGCTGGGGCTGATGCAGCTCCTGGTCAGGACTTGGAAGATCATCAGCTCTCACTAAAGGCAAGGGAGACTGAGGAGAGTCTTTCTCTATCCGTTCTTTCTCTGTAGTCATTGATTTCACATTGCCTTCATAGTCTATACTTTTTTCTTCCTGGGTATCTAATCTACTCTCAGCACATGGCTCTATTTCTGGAGCAACATCCTCCCATGACTGCGAATCTGAACATTTTTCCAATCCCTCCAAAGGTTCACAAGAAACATCAACTCTGGGAGATGGCTCCTTCACATCTACAATGACAACACTTGAGTCCTCTGAAGTTGCTTCTTCCCAAGCTTCCTGATCCTTCTGTTCCAATTCTTGGTCAAGTACTGGCAGCTTTGGAGGAGAATCAATACTAATCACAGTGGTTTCAACTTCCATAGCTTCTGGACATTCTTGTTTTGGAATTTCCTTTTTAAGACACAACCCTGGGGAATGAGCTTCAGTCAGGGAAAGGTGCAGCGGGATGCTTTTCATATGTTCTTCTTTGGCTTCCTCTCCTTGACTTTCACAGGGAGTTTCAGGGATTTCTTCCACCTCAGACCCTGAAGATCCCTCCTCTGGATGGTGTTCTTTAATTTCCATAGCTTCCTCCTGATCTAACACACTAGAGAGTGCCTCAGATCGAGTAGCTGGAGAAGGAACCGCCTGACTCCCTGAATCACAAGTGAGATCAATACAAACATCTTCTGCTACAGTTTCTTCTCTGCCTTTGCAATCCGTGGCTAAAATATTAATGTCGTCTCTGGTCTCTGTGTTATCGTTCTTTGTTTTATCATAACTCTGACTCAGTTCTACTTGGCCATCCTGTGCTAGATTTATCTGGACATTTTCGGCATGAATAAGTTTAGAGTTGAGAACTGGTGATACAGGTTCAGTGTCTTCAATCTGTGCGTTTTCTCCATCTTCATCCATCCTTTGAGGACTCAAGCTCTCTGGCTTTGGAGACTGACTATACTCACTTGCAGAAAGCATTAACTTGCAAGAATCCCCTGTCAAAGATAGCCCAAGATCTTCAGTGGAATTCTTTGGTTCAATCTCTGAAGTTTTAGAACACTCAACAGTCAAAGATGAATTATGCAAATCTACACCTTTCTTGCCATCATTAGATTGTTCTTCCAAACTTGGTGATGGAATGAAAATGTCCTAAGGAAGAATAAAAGACAAACAATGATTTATTCACAATCATGTCTTTTATATATAACCTTGCATTCATCTAAAATTTCTAAATTGGGACCAGCAGTTAGTATAATGGCTATGTCGCTGGACTCCCATGTAGTTGACCACGGTTCGTGTCCCGGACCTGGTGGCTTAAAACTTATGCCGGGCGTGTGTGTGTGTTTGCCCAAGATCCCAAGAGGAGAATGGAGGAGAAGGGATTACTGCATGGCCATCCCCTCTGGGGGGGTGATTTCTTGCTTTCTGTCTCTATGTCTCTCTCTGTCTGGCGAGCGCACGCCGCCCTATAGCAAAAACCTCTCCAAAAAAAAGTAAAATTTCTAAATTAATTATTAAAAAATTAAAGAACTCTAGGACTGTAACCTCAGGAATACAAAACTCATTATCACCAATCTCTTCATTAACACAAGTCACTCTGGTTAGTGTCTTTGCTGTGAAATCACTGATACAGAATAAGCATACTCTAAACAAAAACCTAAATTAATAACTTTCCTTTTTTTTTTTTTTTGGAGAGGTTTTTGTACATGCACTCTCCAGAAAGACAGAAAGAGACAGATAGACAAAAAGCAAGAAATCACCCTCTGGGAGGATGGCCATGCCATAATCCCTATTTTTGTTTTTTAATTGCCAGAGGACATATGCATTCACCAATAGTGAGAGAAAGACAGGAGGATGGGACTAGCAGTTAGTGTAATGGTTATGTCGCTGGACTCCCAGGCAGCCGACCACCGTTTGAGTCCCAGACCCAGCGGCTTAAACTCACGCCAGACGCGTAAGCGTGTGTGCCCAAGATCCCAAGAGGGGAATAGAGAAAAAGAGATCGTGGCGTGGCCATCTCCCCTGGGGGGTGATTTCTCACTTTCTGTCTGTCTCTGCTTTTCTGGTTAGTGCAAAAACGTGCCCTACAGCAAAAATCTCTCAAAAATTAAATAAATAAGAAGGAGAAAAAACAACCCTCAATAGGTAGAGTCACACTGCTACCCTTTTTCCTCCATTTCTCCACCCCATCAGGATTTTGAGCAGACACACATATGTGCTCTGGCATGTTTTTCAAGCTAATAAGGCCAGATTCTAGCTGCAGTCGGTCACGTGGGATCTGGCACCCAATGTACCATGGGACAGGGTCACTAACTAAACTTTAAAGGGTGGGAAGACACTTAAACTGTTCATTATCACATTACTAAAATCAACTTCAGGGGCCAGCAGGTAGCATCAAAATTAAGATGCTGGATCCCAGGTGGCTGACTGCACGGTTTGAGTCTCAGACCTAATGGCTTGATAATCTCACTGGGTGCATGTTCGTGCATTGTCGAAATCCCAAGAGGAGACCGGAGAAGGGACTGCAGTGTGGTCATCCCACTTGGGGAGTGATTTCTCACTCTCTCTGGTGAGTGCATATGCCCAATGGTGAGTGCGTGTGCCCAACAGCAAGACAGATAGACAGACAGACATGTATATACACGTATCAAGTTCATGTCATGTATATAACAGATCCACGGCCCACAATTAAATAGGAATACTTTTTTTTTTCTTTTAATGAGAGCAAGAAAGTATGGAAGGAGGAGAGAGAGACTCCCCCCCACCAAGAGGGTCGCTCTGATATAATCCTCCACCCAGCCTTCAATTAGCTAGGATTACAAGCATATACTAATCCTGGACCTCCAATGTAGCCCCAGCTTCATGCAATAGCTCCCTACAGCTTATGCCACTGTGACTGAGCCACACATAGGTATCTTTCCTTTTCAAATGTATTTCCTCTATGAGAGAGATAGAGGAAAAGAGAGAAACAAAAAGGCAGAAAGACAGTGACAGTCAGAGAGATAGGCACTTCCAAGAGGTTCTTCAGGCCAAGTCCCACCCCTAGCCCTAGCCAGCCCATATCACAGGCAGGTGCACACCTGACATGAAGGGAGGCTCCACGAATAAACCAAGATGTTCTCACGTGGGTTCTGCCATTACAGAGAGTTATGTTACCACTGCACCATTATCTGAACAAGTCCCTTTCTTTTCTTTCTTTTTTTGAGAGAAGTTTTTGCTATAAGGCGCGCATGCGCTTGCCAGAGAAACAGAGAGACAGAGACAGAAAGCAAGAAATCACCCCCAAGGGGATAGCCACGCCGCAATCCCTTCTCCTCCATTCTCCTATCAGGATCTTGGGCATGCACGCACACATGCCCACCATGAGTTTAAGCCACTGAGTTCAGCACTCGAACCGTGGACGACTACATGGGAGCTCAGTGACATAGCCATTACGCCTGCTGCTGGTCCCCTCCCACCTTTTTTTTAATAGAGATTTTTGCCTTACGCTGTATGTGCTCACCAGAGAGAGTCAGATAGATACAGTTAAGGGGAAAGTGAGAAATCACCCCCCAGGGGATGGCCATGTCATAATCCCTTGTCCTTCATTCTCCTCCTGAGATCTTGGGTACATACACAAATGTGCCCGGTGTGATTTTGAAGCCACTGGGTCTAGGACTTGAACTATGGTTGGCCATGTGGGAGTCCAGTGATGCCATCTGCTGGTCCTGTGAACAAGCTTTTCTTTTCAAGTTTGCTATAGGGCAGGTTCATTTGCCAGAGAGAGAGAAAGAGAGGAAAGCGAGAAATTACTCCCCCGGGAGAGATGGTCATACCACCATCCTCTCCCCACCTCCCCTTTCTCCTCTGGGGACTTTGGGCATGCACATCCACACACCTAGCATTCTCCCCAAACCTCTCTGGGTCCAGCACTCAAATTGCACAATGAATCATGTGAGATCCAGCTGCCCTAACCAACACACCACTGGCCGGCCCCTGAAAAAGCTTTTCAACATAAAGCTATGCAGACCATTTTTCCTCACAAAGTGAGAATATGTGATCTTTTTTTTTTTTAAGTTTGCTGTAGGGCATATGTGTCCATGAGAGACAAAGAGAGGCGAGGGGAGAGAAAGTGAGAAATCACTCCCATACAGGGGGTAGAGCCATGCCACAATTCCTTCTCCTCCATTCTCAAGGTTTTCAATATACACTCAGATGTGCCCAATTTGTTTTTCAAGTGGCCATGTCTGGGACTTGAACCACAGAGTGAGCCATGTGAGATCAAGCCACCTCAGCCACCACACTACCTGGCTAGGCCTCACCAAAAGGTTTTTAGTGAATATTTCGTATCAAATAATAAAAAAGAAACAAAAAATTATGAATACCTTTTATGATAATGGAACTTACATAACATTAAATTAATCCTTTTTCTGAGAGAGAGATTTTTGCTATAGGGTGCACATGCTCAATATAGAGACAGACAGAAAGACAAAGGGAAAAATCACCCCTCAGGGGGATGGCCATGTTGCAATCCCTTCTCTATTTTCCTCTCGGGATTTTGAGTACACACACATACATGACTGGGGTTAGTTTCAAGTCTCCGGGTTCGGAACCCCAACCACAATCAATTATGTGGGAGTCCAGCAGTATAACCATTATGCCATCTGCTGGTCCCAATCAATTTTTTGATTTTTAAAGATTTTTGCTATAAGGCACATGCACTCGCTGGAGACAGACAGACAGACACACACACACACATACACACACACACAGAAAGTGAGAAATCACCCCCTAAAGGGGATAGTCACACCACAATCTTTTCTCTTCTCAGGATTTTGGGCACACATGTATGTGCATCTGGTGTGAGTTTCAAGCAGCTGGGTCCAGGACTTGAACCTTGGTTTGTCATGTGGGAGTCCAGCAACGTAACCATTACACCATTTGCTGGTTCCATAATTAATCCATTTTAAAGCAAACAATTTGTTGTCCTTCAGTGCATTCACAATGTTATGCAACTATCATCTCCATTTTTGGAAATGAAAACATTTTTATAACCCCAAAAGGAAGCCCCGTACTCATTAAGGATTTGCTCACCATTATAAATACTTTTGGGAACCAGCAGTTAGCGTAATGGCTATGTCGCTGGACTCCCACGTAGTCAACCGCGGTTCGCGTCCCGGACCCAGTGGCTTAAAACTCACGCCGGGCGTGTGTGCATGTGTGCCCAAGATCCCGAGAGGAGAATGGAGGAGAAGGGATTGTGGCATGACCATCCCCCCTGGGGGGTGATTTCTCGCTTTCTGTCTCTATGTCTCTGTCTGGTGAGCGCACGCGCCCTATAGCAAAAACCTCTCTTAAAAAAAAAAAACTTTTCAGCATAATTAAAGTAAATAGTCATGTGACTTTTCAAGCAATTTTTACAAAATAGGTAGAATTTCAGTCAGAGTAGAATGTGAGGTGACTAGAATATCAAAAGGCTATATTTCTAAAAATTGCCATGATCTAGCCATATTCCAAGTATCTGGACCCTAATAATCAACAGTGCTAAGGCTCCCTGGAGGCCTGGTCAGAATAAGAGAACCAAGTGAACAAAATCTCACAAGGCTCTGGATAAAGACTGATGGAGAGAACGGTCAGGATTATGCTCAATATAAGTCAATTTCTAAGTTTAGATTCAGTACAGACCTAAATTCATTGCATCTAACCAATTAAAAAAACTGAATCCATATATGAGTTTACAAGTAATTCATTTGAGAGACCAGCAGGTGGCATGGTGGTTAAGGCACTGGACACTCCCACATGGTCGACCTGAGTTTGAGTCCTGAACCTGGTGGCTTGCTTTCTCGCATTGTGTGTGTGTGTGTGTGTGTGTGTGTGTTTGTGTGTCTGTCTGTCTGGTCAAATTAAAATAACTGAATGAATAAATAAAATTAAATAAATCTTTTTTAAAAATTTTAAAAAGAAATTTTAAAGTAATTCATTTGAGAGCCAGCAGGTGGTATGGTGGTTAAGGTACTAGATCCCACAAGGTCAGCTAGTGGTTCAAGTCCTGGACCTGGTAACTTCAAAGACATGCCAGGCATGTGTGCATGTGTGCCCCAAATCCCCAGGGACTGTGGCATGGCCATCCCTCCTGGGGGGTGATTTCTCACTTTCCTTCTCTGTCTCTG